ATACAAGGGCGTCGTTTACCGTTCAGACTTCCATAAAAGGATGCAGCTTTTCCACATCATATTCAATTCAAAATAAATGTTTAAAGACGTTTATGAACTAGAACTTTGTCTCCAACTTCCCAGTTTCTCATTAAAATCACTATTTGAATTCTTGCTCTAGAGATTTAATGACGCACTAACTGTAATTACGTGACCAGCAGGTTTATTTCCTATTAGACTACCTAGGTAACTACTTGCATGGACAATTCTTTGGAAGAATTATTCTTTGTGAATTCATAAATATAGGATTAATACAACCCCAGTTCCTAGCTTTATGTTCCCTATTGCTTAAAGTTTTACCTGAATACAAGTACAACTCACATTGTTGTCCTAGTTTTAGCTAAGAAAGGATGAAACAACTGGCTAACAGTCGTTAATTAATTTTCCGTAACTTCGTTCCGACGAAACTTTAGCGACACAAGTCCTTTCTTAATAAAACTGGTTCATTCTTTCCGAATACAACTTTACGATACACTTAGTTTCAACAGTCGCGCTATAACAAACGCTATATCTCACGTGGCCAACAATATTTTCTCTGACTGCAGTTCAATTACTCAAAACTACACTGTTGTTCCGTCACGTTGTGATCATCTTATGTATACCAGGCTACCCCCAATCTAGTAAATGTTAGGGCATTCTTGAAGGAACAGGACATTTCTAGAAAACAGGTGGCGTGATACTAGTCACGTGACCTCAATGACGCAACAATACATTTTATTTTATTTTAGAAAAATTAACATCTTTAAATGCTTCCGAACAAGGTTGTTCAATAAGCAGTTTGCATTTCAAGTTTACGATTTTTACAGGTTTTGCAATTGCAAATGGACTTAAGATAAAATTTTTGTATGATTTATTAACACGTGTCATTTGGAGACAGATTTTAGTCACCTTACCAGTTCAAATCACTTTTCGCAGCCCCAACGCTAAACGAGTGCGGGAAATGCCTTCTTTTTAGCCAATAAAAGTGTCCAAAAAATTTCAGTTCAAATTAAGAAAAACCGGATTGGATAGTTTGTTTTTTTTTCAACAAAAATGTCCCCCGTTGACTCGGGAGGGACCTGTTCAAAACAAAACACTTTCTCACTATGATAATAAATATGCTCAATTTAATATCTGAATACTAGGCACACAACACCAGAATATACGAAGCCCCGGAGGGGTCATAGAGGATAAAAATTGTCGTGCGCACGAGATATTTTTCTCATGCATGTTCCGTGGTCTGTCAATTGTAGTGCAGTATAAATTCTACTCAGAATGGGCCGAGTGCAGTCTACTGGTTAGGGTGCCGAACTGTGCAGCTGAAGTTTCGAGGTTCGCACACAATTACAACGATAAATAAATAAAAAAGAATGAATTACACTTCACAATTTAGGGTCGTTGGTATATTATAAGAGTGACGGTAAAATCCCATTATCCGGTCACACAAGCGTTATCCCAAGAGTTTGCAGTGGGTGTTGTTAACTAGCTGATTTCTCTGTTTATCATTCCAAAATTATGGAAGGTTATCGCAGATAACCTTCGAGTATCTTTGAACGAAGTTCAACAAACAGGCAAACTACAGGATTGTATATTTTAGAAGGAAAGTTCATATAAAGCCCCCTCCTTCTAGAGCCCCTGGACCCGACTGGAGGAGGGTTTACAACGCTTAGTCCAAATCCCTTGCTTTTTAATATTGCTTGTGAAATTTACTTCTACTTCTCAAATGCAGCTTTTCTTTTGTTGCTTTTTTTTTGCTGGGGGGGTATTTCATTATAATACTGTCATCGCTCAGGCAAAGCATAATTTTCATAGCCTTCAATTTTGTTTGTTTACAGAGCCATCAAATAGAAAATCAGACCCCCTCTTGCCACACTCACCTGTCACATTCGCTCTTTCTGGATTTGTCAGTAGTTCTAATACCAAGTCACTTCAGCTGCCTGTGTGACTTGGTTCAAGTATTTATAGATTTTTTGATAGATGAAAACCTTGACTTTCTATTGGTTATAAATAATATTTGGATGAATTTGTAATGACTATTGTTACATTCTTGAGGTCGAATATCCGGGACCTTTTATCTCCCACAATGCAATATACGCATAGCAACCGAAGCAAAGGGAAAACATATAGCGCGATGAAGGGGAAATTTCGATCATTCTGTAGACTTGCACGCTGTCTATACTCCTACTCAATGACTATTTCTGTTTGTGATGAACATTTGTTGTTCCAATACTACAAATATGGCGAGTTTTTGTGTGTTAAATTCCACCAAGAACAAATCCTATAGACCTGAACTTTCCTTCTATTTGATACCCAGTCATGCTACAGAAAAGGAGAAAAGCCAAGAACAGCCAGGTCCACCAACACGAACAGAAATCGTCGACACAATACTCCAACAAACGGGTCTTAATAGGAACAGGCAGAGATCTACAAGTCCAAAGACCAAGATTCGAATGGTTGAACGAAAGGAGAGAAAAGTTGTGGATGAAAGTCATCAACCACAGAACACAGGGAGCAGGAGGAAAACTGCGGGAGCCAAAGTCTGGTTATAACTCTGTGTGTTCAGCTCATTTTATATTATATAAGTGTTGTCTTACATTTTTTTTTTTAAACACAAGGTAATTGTAAACGTCCGGATACTTCACAATGGGCCATTCTGTTGGTTCATTGATCCACTGGTCGGCAGAGTACTGGAAGACAAGAATCAAGCTCAATTAATTGTAATTTTACTCGATATCTCGCTAATGCCTCGGCCGACAACTTCTCCATTTACTGATAAGACATTGCAATTGATAATCTGACTATCAAACAATAATACATGAAGAATTTGCACAGCAGCAACAGTAGTAACTCGTATACACGGTAGACCTATATAAATTGGTAAACGTAGCCGTACTCCCTTCGCTATTGTTTGCTCCATTTGTAAAGGCAAAAATCACATGACTGTGACTTCACGACGACCTCAAGAATGCCAGAAAAATTGTGATAGTTATGAGACATTGTCTGCTTTTTTGCATGTTACTGTTCTATATTCTTTGGTGCATTATTTAATTAAACAATTATTTAGTGCACTACTACCCTTAGTATAAAAAAGTAGGGTTAAGAGTCATCGATAGTAGACATAAAAAAGGCCCAGGTAAGTAAGTACTTTATTTTTGTTTTACATGTTATTCTTTATTTATTATTACAAAAGTAACCAAAATGTAAAAACAGGAAATTCTTCAGGTTAGAGTAGGTAAAATAAATACTAATAATAGATTTTCATGAGCAACACGTCCCCAAGTGATTTACAACTTATATTAGTTATAATCGTAGTTAACACGGTTCAAAGGGAAATAAGACAGTAAAATGTAAGTACAAATAGATGTGTATTGTAACGAGTTTAAAGCTACTTAGAATAAACAAATGAAGTTTCATGTTACAAATCTTCAGTAAAAATTCTTCATTACAAAAAAAAAAAAAATTTTACAAACGACTTGCAATGTTTGCTAAAAGTCTGCTACATTTCGTTAAGATACTGTATTAAAAGTTATAGTATTAAAACTATAACAAGTAAAAATAGTCACGTGGTCGGGCCATGGGACCCAGCCCGTATTGACACTTCGTAACCGGCTAAATGCAAGTAGTTAGTCTAGTTGGCTAGGCTGCTGTCGCATTCCGAACTACTACAAGATGCATATGTACACGATATGCGCGTTTGGCGGGAATTTCCGAGAAATAAACATCAACTTTTGTTGATCAACTGAAACGTTACGGCACTTTCACTGTGTTGTTGGTGGTCACGAAGACAACATACACGAGAAAGGAACGATTCGCACGTTATGCTAAGCAAAGAGGAAAGTGATTCGCAACTGGGATTGTTTTGATTTGCAAAGTACGATGCGAACTCGGATATTTTGTCCTCTATTAAATTACATAAACAGAACACTGCCTTTATGGCTTGAGTGACATATCTACCACTAGGTTAAGATCCTTCACCTCAGTTAGGATACTAAGCGTGCTCACATCTGTGTTAAACCAAGCGATTCAAATTATCATAACTCAAATCATTACCTTGCAATTACTACAAGGTAGTTTGCCATATGCAATTACTACAAGGTAGTTTGCCATATGCAATTACTACAAGGTAGTTTGCCATATGCAATTACTACAAGGTAGTTTGCCATATGCAATTACTACAAGGTAGTTTGCCATATGCAATTACT